GCTGTAGAGAATAAAGAAAATACTTTCACTAGGAAAAATTGAGGAATAACAAGTTGTATTCATATTTCTGTTTCATGTTCTCTCCCTGTGAGGAACCTTTCCTCTCCTTGGTAGTTCAGGTCTGCTGCTCCATATCAGCACTCTGTGACTCTCAGTAGAGATTAAGGATGTGCTTCCAGCAGAAATGGACAAGCATCCAGCAAGTTGTTCCACAGGAATCACCTGAAAAATCTAGAGAGAAGCTGTACTTTATTGTTACTGATTCAGGAGGATATTGAAATTCTATTGGAGAAATATATGCTGTTTACTGTGAATACTAAAGCACGTAAACGTAACATTTACTGGATTTTGCTAATATCCAACGACACATCTACATCTGGCATTTAAATGAACAATTATGTCACATGCATTTTCCTAAAAGGTGAACAAAACCCAAAAGTTACTGTCTGAGGATTCTTCTTTTAAAGCTTGAATAAATATTAATAGAGGAGTTCTACCTCCTCCCATGCAAGTATTCCCTTCAGCTTGTATGTGACTTTGTGATGTTGGAAATCAGCCACCATATAAACAAAAAGCCAAGAAGAATTAAAAAAAAAATAAAGAAGACATAAAGTAACCTCAGTCTATTGAAACTGCATGGACATGGAAAAACACTTAGCAAAGATACTGAGACACACTAGAGCATTTCAGAATTTGTTTGCTTTTGTTGTGTCATGAAAAGCATCAGGACATCAGGATCCTGTCCTCTTTTTCAGATTCCTATGAAATTCTATGCAAGTGTGCTAACAATAAAACAGAGTACAGAAGATGTCAGAGGCAGAAATTTTCCATTAGGTGACACCATGCCTTCTACAGCCAATACAAAGTTATTTCCCAGCAAGAAAACCTTTCCCTAGACCGGTTTTCAAAGACTCAAACTATGGGGCTTCCATCACTTCTCTCTAGAGACTATTCCACAATTCTAATAGATCTCACTATTAGATACATTTTCCTGGTAATAAGACTAAATTTTCCTTTGCTCAATTTCATCCCTGCAAAATGCATCCCTTGGTTGCAGTATGAAACACTTGCTGGTTCAAAACTAACCATGTGTCTTTTTGCTTCCACATAGCAGCATAACCTACAGTGCTCTGGGTTTATTAACTTTATTTTTAAAGATTTTATATGCTATAAAAGTCACCATTTTAGGCCTTGTATTTAACATTTCACATTACAACTTAATAGTTGTCAGATCATTGTTGATGACTGGAAGATGGTAATTATTAGCTTTATTCTTCACAATACAAAAATGTGTAAGACAGAACCGAACTTAACCTTATAAAAGAGTTTGTGAAACAGCTGTAGAGAATAAAGAAAATACTTTCACTAGGAAAAATTGAGGAATAACAAGTTGTATTCATATTTCTGTTTCATGTTCTCTCCCTGTGAGGAACCTTTCCTCTCCTTGGTAGTTCAGGTCTGCTGCTCCATATCAGCACTCTGTGACTCTCAGTAGAGATTAAGGATGTGCTTCCAGCAGAAATGGACAAGCATCCAGCAAGTTGTTCCACAGGAATCACCTGAAAAATCTAGAGAGAAGCTGTACTTTATTGTTACTGATTCAGGAGGATATTGAAATTCTATTGGAGAAATATATGCTGTTTACTGTGAATACTAAAGCACGTAAACGTAACATTTACTGGATTTTGCTAATATCCAACGACACATCTACATCTGGCATTTAAATGAACAATTATGTCACATGCATTTTCCTAAAAGGTGAACAAAACCCAAAAGTTACTGTCTGAGGATTCTTCTTTTAAAGCTTGAATAAATATTAATAGAGGAGTTCTACCTCCTCCCATGCAAGTATTCCCTTCAGCTTGTATGTGACTTTGTGATGTTGGAAATCAGCCACCATATAAACAAAAAGCCAAGAAGAATTAAAAAAAAAATAAAGAAGACATAAAGTAACCTCAGTCTATTGAAACTGCATGGACATGGAAAAACACTTAGCAAAGATACTGAGACACACTAGAGCATTTCAGAATTTGTTTGCTTTTGTTGTGTCATGAAAAGCATCAGGACATCAGGATCCTGTCCTCTTTTTCAGATTCCTATGAAATTCTATGCAAGTGTGCTAACAATAAAACAGAGTACAGAAGATGTCAGAGGCAGAAATTTTCCATTAGGTGACACCATGCCTTCTACAGCCAATACAAAGTTATTTCCCAGCAAGAAAACCTTTCCCTAGACCGGTTTTCAAAGACTCAAACTATGGGGCTTCCATCACTTCTCTCTAGAGACTATTCCACAATTCTAATAGATCTCACTATTAGATACATTTTCCTGGTAATAAGACTAAATTTTCCTTTGCTCAATTTCATCCCTGCAAAATGCATCCCTTGGTTGCAGTATGAAACACTTGCTGGTTCAAAACTAACCATGTGTCTTTTTGCTTCCACATAGCAGCATAACCTACAGTGCTCTGGGTTTATTAACTTTATTTTTAAAGATTTTATATGCTATAAAAGTCACCATTTTAGTATATAAACCACTTTTTTTTTTTCCATTTTTACTTTTCCATAAGTGGGAATTCTGCTTCCCCCAATTCCCAAACCCTGAAGTTTAGAAAACTGCGCCTTTATGAGTTGTTAATGGCTTGGGTTCCGTCTGCCTGGATTTTCACCAGTAGTTCAGCATTTACAGAAAAGGTTAGAAAACTTTGGTTCTGTATGAGTGGGTATTTTAATTTCTTTAAACACATAATTTCGTGGCCTACTTTCTTAGAGCAAATGGACTCAGACATATCTAGTACATACAGGTGCATTCAAGAGGATTTTCTTCATTTACATTTTAAATATTTAAATACTACATTTACCCTGTGTAAATTCATTTCCTTGATTTAAAAAAAAAGGAACAAATAGGAAAAAAAAAAAGATAAATTTATTAATACACAACTTATATTTAACAATATTTTATCTCTCAAATATGTATATAGATTTTACTTCTGTATTATTGCATGCTTACCCCTGAAATGCCACACATACCATGATCCTGTTCCTCAGAGTATCAGCAGGGTTGCACTACATCTAACCCATGGCCCTTGTGCAAGCAGGCACTAGAAAGACGCATAATTTTTCCTGGTTTGAGGGGCTTTCTGTACAACACTGTACACACAGCCAGTGTTTCAGTGGGAATTTTTCAAGGTACTTTGCTAGGGTCCATGCCTGTGCAAGTCTTAATCAAATGTATATCCTGACGCTGACATAGATGCTCACTGTCTAGTTGCTTAACGTTATGCAATATGTAACATCTTAAGACCCTCAAATATTTAGAAACTTGGGAAAATTAGTAAGAAGAGATAGATTTCATAAGAAATTACAGGAAGTGGCTTTGGCTCAGCAGAAGGTAAAATCCAGTGTTCACTGTTGAGAAATGCAGCACGGGTTTTCTGAACTTTGGGAAACTTGAGGGAGCTCAGAGACCCACTGGGAACCCACAGCTCACGCAACAGCGACTGACGAGACCTGGGCAGGGCCAGGAGCAATGGTGGCCAAGCCCCCACATCCATAAGAGAAGCCCCTGGGGAGCCCTGGTGACCGGGATCCCCACCAGCATGGCAGGCACACAGGGCATGGCGTGCCAGCAAGGGCATGGCACAGCGGTTTGCATGGCAGGGCGTGCAGGAAGGGCGCTGAAGCTCTGCCAGCTCCACCAGGGAGCAATGGGATCCACCCAGCAGAAGGCCATGGCCTCTCTGAATCACCACCCACCATGGGGTTGGACTAGATGACCTCTAGGGGTCCTTTCTAACCCAAAACTTTCTATGATTCTATGATGGCGGACGCCGCTTCCCAGAGCGAGCTCCGTCGGGAACGCGCTGCCAGCCGGGGGCCAGGCTGCAGGCTGTGCCCTGCTCTTACACCAGTACGGGATGGGGGCGGTGAGCACCCGGTGGGAGCTGTGCCCGGGGAGGGGAACTCCTCCCCTGGGTGACAGAGTCCCGGGAGGTGGTGAGGAGCATCAGGAGGGCAAGGGAGAGACAGACAGACTGCTGGAATCACACCCTGCCTTCCCTGGGACAGGACCAACAGGCAGACAGGACACACGGCATGGAGGATTCCCCATCCTCCCTCCGCCTGGCTGAACGCAGGGACTGAAGGGACAGGGGGCAATGGTGACACGTCCCTGCCCGGTGCAGCAGGACTATAAGGATGTTGTGAGGTTACGCAGGGAGAAAATTAGAAGGCCTAAAGCCCAACTAGAACTTAATCTGGCTACTTCAATAAAAGACAAAAAAAATTAAACTCCAGTTGGCTGGAGGTTAGTAAAGGAGACACCCATCTACAAGAAGGGCTGGAAGGAGGATCCAGGGAACTACAGGCCTGTCAGCCTGACCTTGGTGCCAGGAGAGGTTATGGAGCAGATCATCTTGAGTGCCATCACACAGCATGTTCAGGACAACCAAGTGATCAGGCCCAGTCAGCATGGGTTCATGAAAGGCAGGTCCTGCCTAACCAACCTGATCTCCTTCTATGAAAAGTGACCTGCTTAGTGGATGAGGAAAGGCTGTGGATGTTGTCTAGCCAGACTTAACTTAAGCTTTTGACACTGTTTCCCACAGCATTCTTCTGGAGAAACTGGCTGCTCACGTCTTGGACGGGTATACTCTTCATTGGGTAAAAGACTGGCTGGATGGCTGAGCCCAGAGAGTTGTGGTGAATGGAATAAAATCCAGATGGTGGCTGGTCAAAAGTGGTGTTCCTCAGGGCTCAGTTTTGGGGCCAGTTCTGTTTAATGACTTTATCAATGTTCTGGGTGAGGGGATCAAGTGCACCCTCAGTCAGTTTGCAGATGACACCGAGCTGGGCAGGAGTGTTGATCTGCTGGAGGGTAGGGGGGCAGAGGGACCTGGCCAGGCTGGATCCATGGGCCCAGCCCAGTTGGGTGAGGGTCAACATGGCCAAGGGCCGGGTCCTGCCCTGGGGTCACCACAACCCCACGCAGCGCTCCAGGCATGGGGCAGAGGGGCTGGAAAGCTGCCCAGTGGAAAAGGATCTAGGGGTGTTGGTCAAGAGGGTTCTGAATATGAGCCAGCAGGGTGCCCAGGTGGCCAAGAGGGCCAGCGGCATCCTGGCTTGTCTC